AAGGAACTTACAGCAGAATTCCAAATGGGATAAAACAAAGGGATGGGGAGGAAAGGAGAAAAGGGTTCATATTATCTGTGTAAGTTAATTGAGCTAGGTTTAGTTGGAGATGAGGACAAAAGCATTAACTCAAGGATTTCATGTAAATTATGGTTCTCTGAAGCAGTAACAAGAAGTAGGTACTCCATGCCCTGGAACCATAGTGACAATTTGCGCAGATGTATTTGTGTTTCTCTCTGTGTGTTTGAACCTACCATGATGGGATTTTAAGCATTAAATAATACTTGCCTGCTAAGCTTGTGTGCTGGCGGATGTATGTGAAGTGCCAGCATGACATGGGGTTTCACGAGATTAGCTAGTTGGCATAGCATAGCATACTTAAAAGTAGCGGGGCAGTATATCTTAAGATCAAGCTGTTCACCAGTAGGAATGCTTTCTTTTTTCCTTTCTTTTTAAAGCAGGGAGCAGTCTCCAGGGCATGTTAAATTTTTCAGCGTTAGAGCCACGTCTCATAGCAGTTTCCACATATTACATCATCACTTGGTAAACTACCAGTGTAAACTCACGCACAAGGCCTGTGATACGTGTCTTGGTCTGCTGCAAACATCAGTCAGGAAAATGTTTTGTTTGTTCAACTTCAGTAGTGAAACTTCTAAATGAAATAGTCTCATCTACAGAGACTCACAAAATAGGAAACTATGGCACTCAGTTCCACAGTTACAAAAATGATTGTGTGGAACTGAGATAAAACATTAGAATACATGGACAAAGTCAAAGTCAGCCCACCAAGATATTTTGCTTGCATTTTGATCCCCGTCTTCACCATCGCCTTTGCACCTTCTGAAAAACAATCACTCAGAAGCTGTCTGACTGCACTGATAGCTGGTTTCCTCCCTTCAGTTCTCCAGGAATTGCGCCAGCTTACAGTTTTCTAAATAGGGCCTTTGTTATGAAACCATTTAAAAAGTGTTCCAGTATTTGTACAAAGAGAAAGGATCCCTGGGAAAGAAGGAATAGTGAAGGTTAATGGGGAGGCAGCACAGCAGCTGACACCTATTCCCTTTCAGTACTAAGTGCCGTATTATGGGATTTTCTTGCATGTGTAGTTCTCAAAATCAGTACAGCTAGCAGGAAGAAAACCAAACATTTTCTGGATCAGAAAACGAGAGGACAGCTCTAGAACAGCTTTCTACCACATTCTTGGCGTGGCATTCAAGTTGTGAACTCTAGGATGCCTCCAGGGGATGGGGGAATCATGTCAGTTCTTTGCTTCTGGAGGTTTCTGCCACCAGTGCTACAGATGTAGTCATAGAAATTAACCGGGCAGTGCTGTTGCTATGCAGGCCTTCCCATTTCTCCTAGCCATAGTATGGATCATGAGCAGGGACTGAGTGTGAGCATAGTTCAAGCACCACAGGACAAGGGCGCTGAAGCAACTGAGAGAACATCCAGCAGAAGCCCAGCCCTTGCTTTTGGAGAGAAACACCCGCTTCTCACATGTGAACAATTTCCACAGAGGAATAATGTTTCCGTGGCAGAATGCCATGTGTATGTATGTGTGCCATCATGTGACATAATTAAAGTTATGTTCATTCCATTGTACACACAGTTGTCCTTCACTAGTCATCTCCTTCTGTAGAAAATGGTGTTTAAAGCAACTAAAAGCATTAGGATTGACTGAATGATCCATGGAGACCTCAGTGAGTGGTACTTCTTTCAGGAATCCTTTTTATTTGACCTCCATAAAATAATTGCAGTGTTCCTCTAGAGCAGCCTTCCTCAAATATAATTTAGTTTTGGACTGCACTTTCCAGAATCCTTGACCAGAAGCTGGGGCTGATGGAGTTGGGGGTGAAGACAAAAACATATCGAAAACTGTGGATTGGTAAAGTTCTTGATATCCTACTTCCACATTCCTTCAGGGGCAAACACAATACAACCACTTGTTCTGTGTTATTTTTCTTAACACCTTGTTGTAGCCCAAGGAGTTATTCTGAACATATCTGAGCAAGAACACTTTTAATCCCATTACCACTTCTGAAATAGAACAAGGACAGTTTTAATTATCACCACAATTACATTTTGATCATGATGGTGGAGTAAACCTTTCCAGAACATGTAACCATTTCCAGTCTTTTCTCAAAAAGCAAATGGAGGTGTCATGACCCGTAAGGGACCATGCCAGATCCCAGCACTGCTCATTGGCCAGGAATTCATGCATAGGTAGAAAGTGAAGCAACAGGACAGTACAATCTATGTCAGAAAACCAAAGTAAATAAATGGATTATGGGAAAGGAAGAGCAAAATGCATCACTTATAGGATGGAAGATAATTTATGTTTCTCAGTCTCATGAAGCCACAAAATGAGGCTCATGCAAAGACAAATCATTATTGCATGAGAGATACAAATGGGGACATCAAGATTCCTATAAAAAATAAAATGAAGTCCTACTGTACATGTGGAGGGGAGAGACTATGAAGCAAAGAAGAACTAAAGGTGTATAAAATTGTGAACAATATGAAGAAAGCGGAAAGAAATAGTCCACCTTCTCCCATAATAATAGGACATTAAAGATCCAATGTTATGCATATTTATACAGAAAAAGACCTGCTACTGCTAGCAAGGCTGGCTGAGGAATGCTGGCAATTGTAGGACCTGAGAGTATTGTATTTACCTGAGAGTAAGTTCCTCTGCACACAGTAGAGTTACATCTAAGTAAGTAGACATAAGATTGAACTGTAATCCTAGTGAAATGGGTTGGCATTTAGTTTAGGAGGGAAGGCAGGCAATGCTTCTTCACATAGTCCTTAGCTAATTTATAGAATTAATCATTTCCATGGGCTCAAGCCTGGATTACTTTGTTTGCTGTGGTTATGAATGACATCAAAATCAAGCATGCATAAGGATTTTTTTTGAGGCAGTTTCTCCATGAGTGGAAGATATTAGGGACAAACAATAGGTTATCAACAATTGTTTTCATCCAGTCCCTTAGTGAGAAACACCTGGCAGCCCGTTCTTGGAAACAGGGCCACAGACTCAGCTAGAAATCTCTTTGATCTGGGCCAGCAAGGCAGTGATTATGCTCTTACATTCTTTATAGAAAGCTTTGTATAGGACAAAGATGCCCTTCAAAGGACTGATAAGTTCAAAGGTGTTCAAGAGTGCAAACTAGGCAGTCATTCTGAGGAAAGAAAGAATGTTTTCAAATCAGGGATGTGCCATAATGATGATCTACTTTCTTGCAATCATAGGATACCCTGAAATGCTTGTAAGCTTTTTACTATTGTTTTGGCAGGTGCCAAAATGGCCTCTAGGAGCCATAAGGCAAGGAAGGTTGCAGGCAAATTCAGATGACTAGGAACATATGGTGGAAACTGGGGCATTCCAAGGCAATAGCTTTAAAAATTAGGTTCGGGTCAGGAACCCTTGACAGATATAGGATAATTGCTCAGTTGTAGTGGTGCTAACAAGTAGTTCAGTGCTATGATAGATAACAAACTGAGTCAACAGTGTCATGAAGTAGAATGAAAAGAAGCCTAGTTTAATTTTAGATGGAATTAACAGGAAACCTATTAAGCAATATACAGCACCATGTAACTCAGTGGTTCTTAAACCTCTCACTGAAGTGGTGCTAGGGTCTAATTTCTATGGGACTTATTCCTGGGATCTTTTTTTAGTAGCTGGGCTCAACCCAGAAACAGTATGGAGTAATCATAGACAAAAGTCTATGCCCTGAGCAGCATCTGCTGCATTTCCTCCTGCTTCTGAATAACTACTAATATAATGCCTGGGAATCGGTGGAAGGGAATTCAGATGAAGAGCCATGGTTGAGAAGTCCTTGATGGAGTAAGCAGGGCTATTGAGCTAGCTGAATCTTGGATGCTATCCAAAAAGCAGTCAGGAGAACAAACAGAGACATGTAGCATCACCTGGCATTGGTGAGAAAAAAGTCATGGAAATTCAGAAATGTAAACAGCCAATTGCTAGACAAAATATCTAGGCCTGAAGATGTGGGATCACTTAGAAAGTTATTTAAGGACTCTGCAGGTGAATAAAACCCTGAGAGCACCTAATCACTGCCCCTAAGTAAACCTAATCCCTTTTGTCAGACTGATGGGGTCAACCGTCACAGCTGCAAGGGACACCCTCTGGGGCACTGCAGGGGTTTCAGGGGACTTAGCTCAGCAGTAAAAGGCATCCGTTCCATGCTGACCTGGGCTCAGTTCTTGGCATCTCCCAGGAGAGGGCCTCCTATTGTAGGGCTGCCGTGCATTTCAGCTTGTGAGCTGTAGCCTGCTTTAGGAGATGATGCTGGGCTAGATTGACCCAGAGTCAGTGTGAACTGGCTGTCATTTTAGAGCAACAGGATGGGGATAAGTGAAGCAAAGACTTCTGCTGGAACTAGGATGGAAACAAGAGGCCAGCAACTGGAATGGTGTTTCCTTTTCGGAGCCTCACAGGCTTCTTCGGCTGCTGTCTTGTCACCTGAACTGTTGAGTGCTTTACTGCTGTCTTCCTGGCTGACTCCTTGTGGGTCTTTAGTAACAGCATTTTTAATCAACAGTGTCTTGCCCGCATCAGAACTGAACCATCTGTTAGCTATATAAATATTCTCTTGTGCCTTCACTTTTGCATTCATTTAAACTCTTTTTTGGTTAAGTAGGATCCACAGCTTACTGCCTGACTTGGTGGTAACACCACAGTTTTCTGCTTGTGAGAGGTTTTGATTCAATTCTCTTGTATATATGCGCATATAATGCTGAGTCTCTTTGTATATGAGACCACTGAAGAAGACCCATATGATCAAAATGTGTTTAGTACTGGTATTGTTAAGCTGTTCCGTTTAGGAATTATAGAACAGTGTATTAACAGGTTAGTTTATTTATATATGCAACCCTTCAGTTATATAAATAAAACCAATTGTTCACACTTATATAACCTGGAACAGGTTGTTTATCCCAGTTCTTTTATTGACTAGTATACTATCTCTCCATGCCAGGTGGAAACCCCTCCAATGGCCATTACAGCACCTTGCAGCCTTCATTCAGCTCAAGATCCCAAACAAATGGCACGGACCACACAAGCACTGTAAGTACAAAAACCGAGTCTGTCTCAGTCACCTTTTGGTGGCTAATACAAGTTTGTTATGCGTTGTTGTTACTGGCGTTGTTTGTAAAGAGCCATGTTACAGTGGTTGATTACCACTGATAAAAGAATCCTACTTCCTTGCTGCATTTGTAAAACTGGCCCCCACGGTAAAACTTAGTCTTGGTGGTGTCAGTAAAAATAGGACATCCTGGTTTATCCCAGCCGGGCAAGGGCCAGCTATGTCCATTTGAAAGGCCTGGTACAAAGCAGAATTGATTTATGAAGAACAGAAAGTGGTCTGGCTGGGCCAATGCTCACCAGTGCCTGCTAGGTGGATGGTGCAAAAACAAAGCAAAGCAAAACAACAAAACAAAACACACACACCGAGTCTGATCTTATAGCAGGGGCTGAAGGAATGACATTTTTTCTGAATTATATGTACATGCACACAAAATAATGCACAGTCCTTTCATATGCTGTATCATTTGTAACTTTATTCTTCAGTAGATACTGAGATCATACTCGGGCTGTTCTACTGTAGACCTGCAAGTGTATCAGTAGCTAAGAATTATAACACATGATTTTGTTTCTATAGTGATCTCTTTGTATTATATTGTATTTTAATATATATTGTTGTTTTTATATTTTAACTTTCACATCAAATCCAGTTTGATGGAAAGGGACAGAATGTGCCATTTGATAGCAGAGCTGGTACAGCTTTGAAAATCAATATCACTCTCCCTTGCTTTCTTTCCTGCTCCCTGCAGCTTTACCAACCCATGGTGAAGAAAGGTTACAACACCATGAAGTCTACAAGCTGGTCTTCCCACTCAGCAGTGGACCTCAGATCCAACAATAGAGTGGCCACCATCAGCAATGGCGTTGGGCCAACAGGTCTGGCATACGGTGCAAATTACGCCTTTTCTCAAGCTGCTAATTCTGCTCCCCGCCCCAGGTCATTTCATGAGCGGACCTACCGGCCACGCCAGAACTATGACACCATGTCCCTGCATTCCTTGCGCCTGGCAGATGGACCAGGCAGCCCTAGAGGTGCGGATGACCACTACAGTATTGTATCTGAGCAGCTGGACCCACTGGCCCAGGCAGGTGTCTACAGAAATCGAGGCAGTGGCTTCAACAGATCTTACAGCTTGGAAAGGCAGATGAGTGCTGGCTCTAATGTGTTCCCCAAAGGCCCCGTTGACTGGATGGATGGTGTGGAGGCACCTCAAAGCAGGACTGTCATCCGTGCCCCAGCCATGCGCACCCTGCAGCGCTTCCAGAGCAACAATCGCTCTCGCTTCAGTGCAGGCTCCTTCAGTGGCATGCAGACGTCTCAGGCAGGTGTTGGAAACACCTATGCAGGAATGGAGCGCAGTTCCCATGCCCCCTCTGTGCGTAGCTTGGTCGAATCCAACCATCGTTTGCAAGACCTGCGGGCCATTGACATGTATGATGGTCACAATACGCTGATGAGTCAGCAGTCCTTCTCCGGCGGGTGAGTTTGTTGCACTAAACTGCTGGCGGGATCTGGTCCCAGCTGAGCAGGCCTCTAGGACAGAAATAAGAACTACCGTCCTTTAGGGTAGACTTTCCTAAACTAGCCTTCCCCAGTTGTTGAACTGCATCTGCCATCAGCCCAGTCATTAATCATACCAGTTGTGGATGGTGGGACTTGTAGTTGCACCAACATTTGAGGACTCTAGGTTGGGCAAAGCTGCTTTAAGAACACAGAGTTCCTGTTTTTAGCATCCTGTTCCTTCTCCTGCGGTACATTTTTTGTGTTTCAGGTAGCTGCTCTTTTCATGTTGCTTAGTGAAAATCATGACAGGCGACATGACAGGAAAATGTCCCCATTTCCTGGATTGTGCTTTTCCTGCAGCATCAAAGTAGGGAGAAAGCAGCCTAGCATAATTCGTGATGCTGTAGGAGAGACGGTGGGTTCACACAACACAAGAAGCCATGGTGAAATCTTACCTTTGTTGGTCTCTTGTGTCATCTACACCCAGTTGCAGAGTTTCTGCATGGTAGGATTAGTTTTCTGAAACTGCAGAGAAAGTCAAAGGTCCCTTCTAAGGTTTGTACACTTCACAGTGACTTCTCCAATAATCCAAACCCAGGATTGCCATTTTACTATTGTTGGTATGGAAACACCATCCAGTCTGCTGGCAAGACTGGCCACAGAAGTTGCTTCTTCCAAGCCTTTAATTCCTGCTGCCCAAAGCACCCTAGCAAAATACGCATCACTGATAGCTTTATTCTTGTTTACTAAGCATTTACTTCCAAACTTTTGGAAGCAGGGAGACAATGAATATACAGGGAGGGAGAAGTGAGGAACCACAGTAGAACTGCTTACTTTCATTAAAGTAAATATGCAAATGGGGGCTGGAAAGAGCTGCAGACATGCAGGTACTCTTGGGAGAGGGGGAACCTAGTTCAGGAATGCAACAGGCCAGTCACGAGGGGGCTGCTGAGGTCCGTAGGCAAGAACAGGGAAAGGATGGGGATTTTGCTTGTGGGGCTGCCGGGGTGTGTGGCGAGGCCAAAAGGATGGAGCAGGGCATGTGGAAACTACTTTGCCTGGGTAACCTTATGCTTGTCTGACTCGTAAGTATGGCCAAATTTCTACACCCTATAGAAGCAGCACAGGGTTGTTTTCCATGTTGTGTGAACCCAACAAATAGGACTTATACTGTATATGCCCAGTGATTTCCAAAACTTCCTGTTAGGATGCTATGAATGTTTGTTACCTCCTGAAGTCGGAGTAAGGACAAGGTGGCAGTCTGTATCCATGTTGATCTTCCTTTTTCTTTCCGTGTTTCATTGGACAGAGTAATGCAATGCGTATTCTCTGTATTCTCTGCACTTACTGGGAATCCACAGAATCTGGAAACCATTCCAGAGTTTTACATTCTGAGATGCCCCACTCTCATATTTTCAAAAAACAAAGCATACTTCTAGTGCTCATGGTTAAGGAAGAAAAGCACAGAAATGAGAGCACCGAATAGCAAAACTTCAGAAAAAAAAACGATTCAGGTGGAACAAGATTGCCATTGCTATGGAATGGGCTCTGCTGCTGTGTAGGGTTCCCTGCCTGCCTCACAAATCTACTGTCTTCTGTCTCCAGCCCATAAGTGCTAATTTCAAAGCTGTTCTGATCTTCTGTAACTCCCCCTTTCTGGATCTCTGCTGGAGAGAGATTGTTTGGCAGGATTATTTTTGACAAAAAAAGTCAAAAGTCTTTGTATACCACAAATCTGCAAAATGAATTCAATCTATAGATGTTTGGACTTTTTAAAAAAGTAGAACATTCAGGGATTGCTTAGTGAGACTCTGTGTAAATGTCAGGGAGATGGAACTTGCATGCTTTCCTCTGACTCAGCCTGGTTTTTTAGGTTCGATGACATTGACCTTCCTTCTGCGGTGAAATACCTGATGGCTGCTGACCCCAACCTCCAGGTGCTTGGAGCTGCCTACATCCAGCACAAGTGCTACAGTGACAGTGATGCCAAGAGACAGGTGAGGCAGAAAGGAATGGACTCAGATCCCGAGGGCCTGCAGGCACGTGTGGTGTGCAAGGTCTGAGCCCGAGTCTCAGGAGACCCAACCTTGTTTTCAGGGTTAGTTGTTGCGGTGTTCATTTAAGAGTCGTGGCATCAGTCAAAAGGGACAAGTCTAATGAGCTGGGCTTTTGCATTTGGGTTGGGAAGGTTATCCGGGCTGGGAAAACATCTGAGCATAGGTAGGCATAGAGACATCTGCTTTCTTGTCCCTCATTCTTTCTGGCAAGTATTCCAATCATTCTTTTCTGACAGGCCCGCAGTCTCCAGGCTGTGCCCAAGCTAGTGAAGCTCTTCAACAACCCCAACCAAGAGGTGCAACGCCATGCCACTGGCGCCATGCGCAACCTCATCTATGACAATGCTGACAACAAGCTGGCCCTGGTGGAAGAAAACGGAATCTATGAGCTGTTGCGCACGTTGCGTGAGCAAGATGATGAACTGCGCAAGAACGTGACAGGTGAGGGAACGTTGCACAGGCCCAGCTGTGGGCTTTGGGCAGGGCCTGCCCTACCTAGAAAATAAGGAAAGAAAAGGGGGGCTGGGGTGCACAGTGGAAGTCAGTGGTCCTCACTGCTTTAACCAGTGTGGAAAATAGTCTTTCCCACATTGCCGCAAAACGCCTAGAATAGTCTTCCACAAAGTGATGCCCTCCAGATGTCTTGGACTTCAAATCCCAAGCATCCTGATCATTGGCCATGCTGGCTGGGGCTAATGGGAGTTGAAGCTCAGTTGTTCTGTAGGGCTTCAGGTTGGGGAAGGCTGAGCTAGAGTCTAATGGTACAATTAGTCACAGAGACCCTCCAGCAAAGGCAAAGACTGGCTGCATATTCTGTAGGCTCCTCTCAGAAAGCCAAAGCTTTCCCAGCTATTACATCTGAAGGTACCCATGGCATCTTGAGTTTTCCTGTCACGGTTTTAAAGCTCCATGTTGCCACTGACAGCAAAGGGAAAAGTCATAATATGATGACACTGGTCCATAATCCAGTGGGAGGATGTCAACTTGTTTTGGGCTGCTGCTGTTGTTGTCGTCTGGCTCTTAGTCACATGCTTAACAAAGTAAGAATTCTTGTGTATGCAGTTGTTTCTTCACCAGCTCTGGCAACCACAAGCCCTTGAGAACATTTATTTTATTTTGTATACATGCACACCATCTTTCAGCCAAATGGTACCAAGGCAATATGCAATAAAATGCAACTCACAACAAAGTCAACGTGGTACTTCAAAGCAAGCTTGTTCATAACAGCCTGCAAACAAACCTAAATACCTATTTAAGTTTCAAGGTTTTCAAGCAGGGCAGGAAGTATTTCATTAGGGAAGCGGGTAGAGCTCAGGCCACTGCTGAGAGGTTCTACCTGCACCTTTAAATGGCAGTTAAATCTGGTGATGCTACACCAGAGGCAAGGGCAGAAGCAAACAGGAGGATGGGGATGGAGCAAGATGGAGGATGTGGGTGAAGAAAATCTCTGCCACCATGTCATCTGATTCAGTATTGAATTGAAGGCTCTGTAGGCAATCTTGATGTCATGACCATTTAACCATCAAAAATGGGCCATTCCAGTTCATGAATCTGGATCAGAGGTTTGGAAGGCTTTTTGTATTTCAGCTATAGCAATATGTGGACAGGCTAATATGTGGGGTTTTTTATATATATATATATTTATGTAACTTTTCCTGCCTGATCTCTCAAAAATACAATCATATAAAAAATACAAAGCAGACCAAAATGTAAACACATACATTTGTTGAAGCTTGGAAGTATGATTTGAGTATGGACTGTGTCTCAGAGAGCATAGACTATTTTGGGGAAATTATTGATTTTTAAGGTGTTAATTTTACCCAAAACACTGAGAGTGAGAGCGTCTCATTTTCCTAGATCCAAAACTATATAATTAATCCAATGCAGGTCAGTCAATTGGGAAATATCCTTGGGAATATTTATTCCCAAATAAACTATGGCATCAGGGCTTTGTTTGAACTGCCATCTGGAAAACAGGGGAAAGGAGGTGTCTGTCCTCAAGGGATGTACTTCGTGATTCAACCTAGTTAATTGTATATCTTGATAATGACCTAAGCCTATCTATTAAATGTGTGTATGATAAGCTCTGGAATAGAATTTTCAGGATGATCAGTAAACGATGCGTCCATATTTGCCCTCCTGCCCCTTAAGATCGGCGGCAGAGGCCCTTCTCCGGGAACCCTCCATGAAAGATATTAGGAGGGTGAGTACCTGGAGGAGGGCCTTCTCTGCGGTGGCGCCCCACTTATGGAATGCGCTCCTCAAAGAGGTCTGCCTGGTGCCGTCGTTATTTGTTTTTCAGTGCCAGGCCAAGACCTTTTTATTTAAAAGTTATTTTAATTGTTGATTTATTTATTGGTTTTAAATTAATGTGCTGGAGATGTTTCCAGTTTTTTTATGTAATTGTATTGATACTTATTTGTTGGAAGCTGCCCCGAGGCTTATGCGAATGGGGCAGCATATAAGAATTCCAAATAAATAATAAATAAATAAACAAATAAACAAACCGTGGACAGAATGGATGTTCTTATGCCCTCTGGTAGGATGAACAAAACCTCACATCACCATAATTCATCAGGTGGCACAAACTATTTAAAAAATAGTAAAAAATGTACAGTTTTGATGGGCTGGTGATACACAGGGTTAGTCTCTCTCACTGTGATTCAACCCTTGCCATGCATCTACTTGACCCTGTTCCACCATTGAGGTCTTGAAGGTGGAGCAGCCTGTGGCGGATAATTTGCCTGGGGGTGTATTCCTATCCAGGATTGACTCTAGAATGTCACTGGAGTCTCCAATACATAGTAGTTAGTCTTTGGCAATAAAAGACAGGTTGCCAAGCAGTTGTGAAACATTGAGGGAGAATCTAGGTGGGGGCCATTTAACCTTTCCAAAGCCATTGTTGATGTTGCCAGCTTAATAACTAAGATAAGACCGCCTCCTTCCTTATCTGTCACTGAGTACAACACTGAGATTGTGCATGAGCTCAGCTCCTTCTTTTGATGTCTGCAACTAGCACACACTCTACCCACTCAGATCTTACAGAGCCTATATTGATCCTTAGCAAGTGGAGTTTTGTATATGAAGAGTCTCAGCTTTCAGCCTCTTAAGTTTAGCAAGTGCCTGCATTTGATTGCACCCAAGCCTCTGGAATTCCAGCTAATGATGTTCAATGACATGATCCGTATTGGAAATTGGAAGTAAGTGAAGGCATTTAACAGAGGAACAGGAAAGCCTGGTACAGCTTTTTGAACCTACATATCACAACCATCCATAATCTGATTGATATGACAGATAGTGAAACATGCATGTTTTCATGTGTGAATGTGGTCCAGTAATGGGTCTTCTCCTCTGCAGAGCTTGCTTCATCCATTGTCCCATCCATTTAAATAATGAAAAAACAGAAGATTCAAAGCAAACAGGCAGAAAAATAAATTGGAAAGCAGCACAAATGTGGGGCATAAAATAGAAATGGTTCAAATAACTGTCTGAGTTGACAACAGAAAGTCTAGTGAATAAAATGGGGTGTCACTCACACAAGGGTAGAGTTATGACCACACAAAACAATAGAAGATAGTGTTGCAAATATAAAATCCCTTACTTCAAATATTGTCCCAGGAGGACACCACAGATTTTCCTGCAATATATAATAACAAACACATATATGGCCTGTAAAATGGAACAGCAAATAAGATAACTGCCAATAAATGATCTAAGAAACTGCCAGCCATCCAGTTAAGAGACAGAAACAACCACACCAACAAATGTTAAACAAGGGAAAAAAATAGCCTTGCACATTTTCCATATATCACTGAACCTTTCACACGGCTTCCAGGTTTTCCCAACTTCCAGCTTGTCTGTAAACAAAACAGGTTCCACATTGGATACTGAACTTTGAAGAGCTATAGGAAGACAGGAAGCACCTATAAGATATCAGTGGGGTTCCCTCAGTACCCAATCTCAGAATTAATGTTGCCTTCATGTGTCCTTTTCATTGAGAATACTGATAGCGTCAATTATTTTTTAATTTTTTTTATTTATTTAGAATTTTTGTATGCTGTCCCATCACTTATAGCCTCAGGACGGCTCACATAAATAAATAAACAGACTACATAGAAATAATACAATTAAAACCCAGAAACACCCTGGCTGCAAAATTAAAACCTATAGGTATTATTAAGAGTTGTTAAAATATCATTTAAATAAAAAGGTCTTAGCCTGGCACTGAAAAGCAAATAATGAAACAAATAAAAACAAAAAACAAATAAATATTGTTTATTTATTTAAATAAATAATATTTAATTTATTTATTAAATAAATGTAATAATAAGTGACTCAAGTGTCTGTTTTCAATCCAGAAGCACCCTCAAACTGCAAACCTTGTCCTTTAGGGGGAGTGCAGCTCTGTCCAGAACAGGTTGAATATTACCCACCTGGACAGATGACCCACCCACCAACAGTACCTCTGTCTTGACTGGATTGAGACCTGGCGTGTTGACCCTCATCCAGTCCGTTACTGAGTCCAGATGCTCACTCAGAGTGGACACTGCCTCACCTGGGTTCGATGAAAAGAGCTGAGTGTCATCTGCATATTAATGACACCCCAACCCATACCTCCAGATAACCTCGCCACCACTTGCTCAAACACCAGGCCTACAGTTATTTACCTCCTCTGGGTCCAAGTTAGGCTTTTAAAAGACTGGTTTAATCACATCCTCTTTCAAAGATGCTGACACCACTCCCTCTTTCAGGGAAGAATTTACAGCCTCCTAGATCCAGGTGTGAATCCCCTCTTTAGATCTGACAATGAGCCATGATGGGCAAGGGATACACCTGCAGGTGGTAGGCTGAACTTGACCAAACACCTTGTCCACATCCTTAGGCTTCAATAACTGAAACTCACCCAACAACACTGGGCCAGCGGTGCTCTGGATACTTCTGCTAAGGGAACTATGTTAAATGTGGAGTCCAACTCGTGGCAAGTCCAAACAACTTTATCTTCAAGGTGCTGTGCAAATTTGCCACAGTGAGCTACGAAAGGTTACACAGGTTCCCTTTCTGGTCCAGCTTGTAAAAGGCCTGAAATCACTTGGAAAAGCTCCACCAGCTGGCACTGAAAAGATGCAGTGCTGGTGGAAAAGAACTGCCTCTTTGCCACTGTCACCACCACGGGATAGGCTTGATAGTGACCTGTTGGATTCAGCACAGGTTTTCCTCCAATGCGCTCTAGCTGTCTCCTCTCTTGCTTCATTGCCCTCAGCTCAGGCATATTCCAAGGAGCTGGCTGGGCGCTGCTTGAGGGAAGAGGGCACTTAGGTGTGATCATGTCAGCCACCTGACCCATCTCCGCACTCCGACGTGAGCTTTGACATGAATGCCAATCATGCTAGCTGGAAACTCCCCGGAGCCCTCTGGAAACCATCAGGATCCATTAGCTTCCA